AGTTTCTGCTCGGCCACTTTCTTGATAATGATTCAACCAATCGCGAGGGCGTACGGAGGCTTACCATTATCTTAGACTGGTTTTCCGCTATATACRAGGAAAGATGCATAAAAAGAACTAGTTGTTTTAGAAGGTGTCGCTCTCGCTAGCAATTCGCAGTGCAGTTAGTAGGGTGCAGTGACCAAATGCATGTATTGAATATCATATGAATAATTTCCAAAAACTCTTTCCTTCGTGCTCATGGGTAAATAAACAACCGTCTTTAATCCAGCCTGAAGAAGCTAAAGGTAACCAGATGTTTCAGCCAACATGAATGGCAGCTCGACGAACTCAGTCATTTCCACTCCATGCTCTTACCTTCTGCCGGTTGACGAAGACAGACAGAGCCTCCAAGGCTACTTTATCGCTTCCATCGTTATCATGTCAGTCATCACGATTCCGACCATCTTTTTGAATGGTCTAGTGCTGGTCGGTATATGGAGGTCACCGCCGCTTCATACGCCTTCTAATGTCCTTATTTGTGGCTTGGCTGCGTCGGATTTAGGTGCCGGCGTTTCAGTAATGCCTATGTTTATTGCCACATCAGTGGCATATTCCGAAGGTATTCTTGACATCTGGTGTAAGGTTCAGACGCTTTCAAATTTGATAACTCCTTTCTTCGCGGGAGTTTCCTTCGTTACCATCACGTTAATCAGCGTTGATCGAATGATCGCGTTGAAATTTCATTTACGATATGCTTCAGTCGTGACTATCAGTCGCTGTCTGGGATCTCTCGTCTGTCTGTGGATTGCAGGGCTGGTTATATGTTCATCGCACTTGTGGTACGTAAAATTTCTCCACTGGGCCACCGTTTTCATATTCAGCTTATGCCTAGGGCTGTGTACTTTTAATAATGCTACAATCCTTTTGATTCTTCGCTACCATCGAGTAGAAATCAAACGCCTTCAAACGCAAATTGAAGCAAATCAAGATCCAAAGGATAATCTTAACACGCGAACGAACATTGCGCAGAGAAGAAAATCGTCCAGCAATATGCTTTGGGTGTATGGATTGTTTATCGCTTGTTACGCGCCGTTCTTGGTCGTAAGGATATTCAAAAACCTCACCACCGGACACACCAAAGCAACTTTTATCGCATTTACTTTTACTTACTTTCTTGTATTCTGTAATTCTTTTTTGAATCCGATTTTATACTGCATGAAAATGCGCCCTGTGCGCAGATCTATATTAGCCTTACTGCCTGACCCCTTAAGAAGATGCCTCGCGAAACATAAAGTGGAGCCGAATAATGACATTTTAAAGGTGTTTGGCCATTAGACCACGATTTTTGTGGTACAACATTTTATAGACAATGACTTCCGCCTGTCAGCTACGGCAATTCAGATTTAACTTTTTATTTATTGTACTATACTGATCATAAGATATAAGGTACATTTATCAGATTTTATACCATTAATTCCATGTTTCTTGTTAATCGTTAAAAAGTTTGAAAGTKTCGCACTATAAGTCTGATCAATAAAGATCATAACAAATGTTACAGACGAGGTATTACATTGTCAGATTATTTTTGTTCGTACTGAAAAAGATTTCTTTAGTTTTTATGTGTTGAATATTGTAAATATCGCTAGAGGCGGGTCTAGTAAGGGGGCTTTCAATTATTAGCGTATGGGGGGGGGGGGGGGG